CTGAAAATGATTCAAAGTACAGATTGTGTAAAGAAGCATGCAAAAAAGGAGCACAAACTGATTATAAACAATAACATAACAGAGTCGCCAAAATGATTCACTTGAAAATCTGTAAAAATTATCATGTGCCAATAACAAAAAATTGGTGGGAACATATGCTGAAAAAGCAATACAAAGAAGCAGGTTAAAATATTGTGGGATTTCTGAATACAAATTGATAAAGTCTTGGCACATAACACACCAGGTTTAACTGTGGCTGGAAAGAAAAATGTGGACAATTGATGTGGCAATATTAGGGTTTAGTAGAATAGAAGACAATTGTAAAACCTCACAAAATATAACACTGTAGCTTTCCTATATAGTAGCTGCCACATAGAATCCCAGAAGCTGATGTCATTTTGGAAGAGGCCATAGTTCTTGTGATCTGAGAATTGTGGTTGATTCCAGAATGCCATGAGGTAGCTTTGTATAAGAAGGCTGTGTGGTGCATCGACTGGGCGCTCTTTTGAAAAGATGATCTTTGGAAGATGTAAATGAAGGTCTGGCGCAAAAATTTCAAGGATGTGAGGCCTAGCTAGGCAGGAAGCAGGCCCAAAACTATGGGGACCTAGCAGAGTGAAAGAAGGCCCAAGGGACCCAACTGGGTGAGATGGAGGTAATTTCAGTGTCCCTGCAGCTGGTCATAAGGGCAGCCAGCATAAACAAAATGCTCAAATTGTGATCATATTACTGTGGGGGCACTGCAGCAACTGTAACTTTGCTGAACAAATGGTCTTAAGTTGAGGACTACATGAACTCTTTAGTTGTGCTTTTTCAGTGTTGACTTTCATATGTGCCATCTTTCAAACAAGAGATCTAGAACAGCAGTTCTCAACCTGTGGGTCGCGACCCCATTTGGGGTCGAACGACCATTTCACAGGGATCGCCAAACAACGCAGTCTGCCATTTTTCCCCCTTTTTCTTAGCTTTGCTATTCCCTTTTATTCTATTGACTTTTGAAAGCCAATAGAATAGACTCTCTTGAATAGAGTCTAATTCTATTGGCTTTCAAAAGCCAATAGGAATTGTCCAGGCTGTCTCTGCCCTGCTGAGCCTGCCAAAAGTCCCATTCTGCAAATGGTACTGCAAGTTGTCTGCAGCAAAGGTGAGCTGTCTGGAAGTTTCCACCCCTCCCTGCTGAGCAACTTCTAAAAATGTAAGTAAAAGAGGACCAGGGGTGGGAGGTGGGAGGCTGGCGGACGCAGGGAGGGTTGCTGGCACACGTGGGGCCCGGCGGGTGCCTTACCTCCCTTGGGCTGGGCCAGCTGGTGGCCCAGCCAGTGGTCGGCCTGCTCCGTCTCTGCCGCTTGCCAGCTACGCCTCGGCTGGCGCAGGGGGCGGCACCATGCATGTGCAGCGCTCCCGGGCAGGGAAAGTCCTCGACTTACGACCGGTTGGGTAGTCCTCGACTTATGACCGGTTGGGGTCACAGCATTAAAAAGGTTGAGAACTACTGATCTAGAATATTCAACAGTAGGTGAGATCACATTTTAGTCAGGTAACTTAACACTCTTGAGGCAATCTGCTTGAGCAACTCACAAGGACCATAAGCGTTTTTAAATTTGGGGCATACTGGCCTAAGGAAGGTTATAATCAATTTGATAAATCTTTTACATAGAATATACTGCTGCTGAACAATTAGTGAATACTAAAGTATTTTCAGAATGTTAAAGATACAGGAAATATTTACCCACTTTTCCAATAGAAATGTGGGGAAATTATATTTGATAACCACTTCTAACTGAACAACCAGTGGCTATGACTGAAATAAGCAAACTAGGTATCAAAAATAAATTTAAGACAATATGATATGCTTAGAATTTTTAAAACATTCTTTTCTGACTACAAGATGTAACAATGCAGAATATTTTCACCTCCAATTCTGCAGGAAAAGATGTCAGTAACACCAGTGGGTATTTATGTGGCATTGACTGTGATCTCCCATCTACAGGACTTTATAAACAAAGACTTCATATTTATTTTCTCTATGCCCTGGGCATTTAACGTATTTTGAGATATCCTAAAGCAGGGCTTTTCAACCAATGGTACGGGTACCATTTGTGGTACATTGGCACCTGGCAGGTGGTACGCGGCCATCCTAGAAAAGTTTTAGTGGGGGAGGGGAATGAACTGAACCAATGGCAGCACCGCACAAGCCTGAGCAAGAGATGGCTGGAGCTGCAGGGCTGTCAGGCTCAGCGGAAGCGCCAGGATCAGTGCCAGATTGGTGCTTCTTCGGGGCTGTCAGGGCTCAGTGGAAGCGCCAGGATCAGCGCCAGGCTCCAGCTGGAGCTCGGCGGCGCTGATCCTGGTGCTTCTGCTGAGCCCAGAAGAAGCACCAATCAGCTGGAAAGCAGCACTGATCCTGGCGCTTCTGCTGAGCCCAGAAGAAGTGCCAATCAGCTGGATTGTTGCAGCATCTCCAGGGTCTTGTGATTTACATTCAAATGCTTGGCAACTGATTCATATTTATGACTGTCACAGTGTCCCAGGGTCATGTGAAGTGACCCAAAAGCTGTTGCAACCACCCAACAGATGGGGGAATAAAAACCAAACACCCCCACCCACCCCTGCTGCCAATCCTCAACAGAAATGCTCACAACAATGAAAACCTTGGACAGGAGGAAGAGCGCCGTCGGGCGGACAGGCAGGTGTCTTGCTCAGCTGTGTCTTGGGGGGCATTTTTTTCAGTGCTATTGTAACTTTGAACAGTCACTAAGTGAACTGTTGCAAGTTGAGGACTACCTGTACTTTATCACTCCCCCCCCCCTTTTTTGACACCTTGCTAGGCAACTGGTGGTACTCAGATGTTGCCATATCCTAAAAGTGGTACAATGGGTGAAAGTGTTGAAAAGCCCTGTCCTAAAGTACAAACTCTGACATATTGAGAAATGTTTGCTATAAGTTTGAAAAAGCAAATAATGATATACTTTTGCCACTGTGTCATAAATAATATTTATCTTTTCAGAGTATATGAGCATCTGCCTTTACTGATAAAATTAATTGTATATTTTATAACATGCCATAAAAATTCTGAGAAATTATCTGGAATTGTGTCTGGACAGTTAAAATCCTTTTTTGCAATCCATTAGTTTCAGAATAAATGTTCTGATAATACAAATCACTCTTTATTCAGTATGTTATCTGATGTGTTTTTTTTATGCTCTAATGAAGAACAAGTTGCCATTTTACACAATAGTGAACACAAGCTAATCTTCTGCACAGCTCCATTAAACTTACAAACTTTCCTTTTTCTGAAATAAAGGAATTTTAATCTTTATTTATAAAGATTTTTAAAACTATTGTTTGGAAGGCCAAAAGCAAAAACTAAACAAACCGTTGGTGTAACGGTCCAAATATTACCTAGAGCTGTGGTGGCGAACCTATGGCACGCCTGCCAGAGACAGCACTCGGAACCCTCTCTGTGGGCACGCGCGCCGTCACCCCAGTCCTAGACCTTCATCTGGGTTTTATAAAATCTTTTCGCTTTAGGCCTCCGCCACTGTGTGCCAAAAAAAAAAAAAGGTGCAATCAATCAACTTCTCACGAAAAAAAAAGATCTCGCTAAGTTGGAATTGATTGAACTTTTTAGTCCCACCCAGTCTGCTGTTACCACCACAGCCATGCCCACCCAATGGACCACACCCACCCAATGGACCACGCCCACCCAATGGGCCATACCCACCCAGCACCCAACGATACATAAGTGGGTTTTGGGTTGCAGTTTGGGCACTCGGTCTCTAAAAGGTTCGCCATCACTGACCTAGAGTAAAATTGAGTCAAATCTGAGTATCAGGTTGATACACTTCTGTTTGATATATATGGTACCAAAATATTGTAAAATATTTCCATGGTGGCACAGTGGTTAGAATGCAGTATAGCAGGCTAACTGCCCACTGCCAGAAGTTTGATCCTGGCTGACTCAAGGTTGACTCAGCCTTCCATCCTTCTGAGAGCAGTAAAATGAGGATCTAGATCAGGGGTGTCAAGCCACCAGCCTACAGGCCGGATGCATCACGTGGAAGCCGTGCCCATCCCATTGCCGGCAATGGCAAAACAGTCCCGATACGTTGTGTGATGTGACGTGACGTCGCGAGTTTGACATGTCTGATCTAGATTGTTGGAGGCAATATGCTGACACTAGTGTAAACCATTCAGAGTGCTGTAAAGCACTGTGAAGCAGTATATAAATTTAAGTGCTATTGCTAAACTGTATTAATCAAGCATTTAAATTTAGTCAGAATCTGATAGTGTGACAGATTTAACAAACTCAGAAAATTGGGGAAATTATATTCAATACCAGACATATGAGCAACCCTACACATGGGTGTGCCTCTTGGATATTCTCGGGGTGGACTTCCATCTCCCAGAAGCTTCAGCAATTTCATGAGTTATTCCATATTATCTTGAGATGTCCAGATTGAAGAAGCTTGCCATAAGCTGTGTTTGCACATTAATCATACTGCTTTCCTTTAAATGCTGGAATTTAGCAGAGTTTTGATTTTGTGGCAAGTTAGGCCTGGTTAAATTGCAATACTGGAATTAATTATACCACAAATCTCTAGGCCCTAGGGTATCATAAATTCAGAAAACATATATCAACAATATTTCAGGATAATTAAGTTTAGAAGAATCCAGATTATATTGAAGAAAAATGTTCATAGAACATCTCCCCATTATCATTTATAATGGACATGTTTCATCTTTTGGATAAGGAAACTGGAAAAAATAATGTATATTCAAGTAGATATGGAATAAAATGCTTCTTCAAGTACCTATTCTCCAACTGTTTACGGCTTTAGGGAATACCATCATTGGCCAGGATAAAAAAATAATAATAAATAGTTCTATTGGAAAGCAACTGATTGAAATTATACAGTATTTGAAACTTTGAGACTTGAGACACTTTGTTTCTTGATCCCAAAATACACTTGTGTCTGGAACAAACTTGTCAGATATCATGGCTCTAGGAATCAGAGTTAGACCACTAAGATTTTATATTATCAATAATTAAGAATAATAACCACAACTGCAAAATTTAACAATTGTTCTTCAATTTACAAAGGACTCCCAAGCTATTAAAATTGTTAACATGTGTAATAAATTTGTAATTTAGTACGTCTGCTTTTAACAATCCCAATGCAATGCTTGGTCCACCCCTCCCTGCAACCCAAAATTAAAGGACACATCCCATCTTTTTACACCGGTGTTTTCCTGCGCGCTTGTTCGCATTTCATCAGAACTCTCCGGGTTTAACGGTTTTCAAAATTGTAATTTATATGCCAGAGTTCAGAATCCCGCCTCCTCGACAAAAATTCTAACAGCGTTTGTAGTCCCAAACACAGAGCGGGGATTAGTCAATGAGCGATGGCATTCTGTACGATTTTATGGATATCGTTCTTGAAATGTTCCCAAGTAACGAAAGTTTGACAAAAACTCCAGTCTGAATTTAGTGAGAACGTGGCCTATCCGCAGCTTACATTCGTCACGTTTTAAAGCTAACTATTAATTTTAGCAGGTAATTGGTAACCATCAATCGGGAAGTTCTTTCTTCACCAAGGTTAGTACCGGTAGCTGCGAACTACTCACTCTGCAAAGCCAGACCGCACTCGCCTGGCGGGAAAAGCGGGACTTTCTTTCACATCTCCCCCCCCCCCCCCAAGCCGGGCTTTAACTGTCCCTGTCAGGTTCTGATCAAGTCGCCGGGCAAAGCAGAGCCAGGTGAGCCGGCGCCCTCGGGGCTCGCGGCTGATCATGATGGAGATAGGCAAGAGAATTGAGGACGCCAGAAACTTCCCGGAATCCAGAAGACTTCGCGTGATTCTGCGGAGGCGAAAGAGACGCCAGCGGGAGGGAAACTTGGCAGCGGCGCTGACGCAAAGCATGGCGCTGGCCGTGGTGGGCACGGCGGGCGCTTATCCCAGCTGGGTGCTGATGAGCGGCGGAGAGATACAGATTGTGCTGGGAGCGTCTTGGGTCATCAACAAGGCCGGTCCCGCTTCCGGGTCGCTGCTGCTGGGCCCGAACGGGGCTCCCCTCATGTTGGCCATCGCTTTCTGCTGCATCTTGAGCGTGATGATTGGCTCGTTGGCCCTGACACTGGACTTCTTGGGATGGCGGCGGTTGCGCCCATGGGCGCCGCTGTGCCACGGCTTCGCTGCGCTGTTGATCGCCTGCGCGACGGCGCTTGGTTTCTGCCTCTTGAAGGTGATCAGCAGACGGATCCACACCAAGAAGGAATTTCATGGGTATGATTTATCCATCAGCCCCGGGCAGAGCCTTTTCTTGGCCTTCCTAGCCTGCATCCTGGCAGCCGCCGCCACTTACATAAGCCTCAAAACCCCGGCGCCGATGGAACCGCCACGCACCACCCAGGATTTGGAAAAACTCGAGGAGTTAAGATTCTTCCCGAGCCGCGTTGGACCGGGAGAATTTACCGACACCTCCGCAGCGTCGTTCTCTTTGAGGAATACATTTGGACGCGAGAGGAGCTCGACGGACGACATGGCGTCAGAGAAAGAGGAGCTCTATGATTGCGAAAAGGGCAGAAAACTGCAGACGTCTTCTTCCCATGAATGTTCTCTAGAAAAACGAAGGGGACAGCAGAAAACAAAAAAGGACCCTGGCCGACGGTGGCTATTCCGGAGAGAAAATAAGCATTTAGCTAAAGTGGAGGGCAAAAATGAAGAGACTGTTTGCAATTCTGAAACCTAGTTCCTGATCGGGAATCTGGAAGCCAAAAGCGCACATACTTTTGGACAAACCTCAACAATCTGAACGTGTTAGGAAAGCAAGCCTCAAGCAAGACTATATCCCTTGCCCATATTTATTCTTAAGGATATTTTACTTTGAATTGGAGAAATAATTTCACTGGGCATTCCTTAATGGGAAATAAAAGATAAATGTCCTGTGAAACAGTGGAAAACTAAATGCAGGCATTTTATATTAACTAGCAATTAATTGTTACTTCAGCTGAGTAAACCCAAATATATACAGTTTCAGTTTAGGTGTTGTAAAGTCTTCAGATTTGCACAATTTTTCACCTTTTAAACATGTATTTCGACCACTATAACAATTTTGTTCAAATCAGACCAGCTACTTTTCAAAGATTATTTCAGTACTTCTGTGTGAATTAATGTTAAAATTCAGATCAGAACAGGAACTTGGTCTACAATTCTAAAATAGAGAACTATCATTTCGAGAGATCACAGTATCATACTTTGAGCCATTTGTTGAGGAAATATCCTGATGCAAGCCAGCTATCTCACCTAAACACTGATACACTACCTCCAGCTTTAGATTGTATTACATTTTATTAAGCAATTTACCTTTATTTATATTTTCTGGATGTTGTTTGTTCTGAAACTTATCTGATTCTTCAGTCTTGCTTACTCTTCCCCTACCCTTTGTTGATATTTGTTCTTAGACATCTTAGACCACCTTGTTTCTTTTAAGAGATTTATTATAGGGTAGTTTGTTTTTAAGTACTTTCTCTAAGGTGAAGATGATGAACCAATTACATAGCTGCCTTTGACAGATACAGTACTTGGCCTTCAGATACTTAAGATCCAAAAGTTTTATTAGTGGATTCAAAATGGAGCAATAAGCTAATTTTGAATCTTGGATTCAAATATGCACTGTGCAAACACAAATAGGCAGATCACTTTAAAAATATTTAAAATAGCCATCAGTAATATATTTTTTCTTGTAAAAAAATCTTTTCAATTAAATTTGTCATGCTACACATTGGAAAGAAAAAAATGAGTTTTTGTAACCTCAAATGGCGTTTCATTTTCTTTTAAAAATCACTGCAAACATTCTATTTGGGGATAAAGTCAGCAGACCAAGTTCTGTCATGTATTAAGAATATAGTTTTAAGCGATAAATTTAGTTTTAATGTAAAAAATGCAGTTACACTCTTAAGCTATAATTTTACCTATCCCATTTTAACCCCTTTCCCGCCAGTTCAATCATGTTGTTATTATAAGAGACTGCCTGGACAAGTCCTTGGTTTTCCTGGCAAGATTTTTCAGAAGTTGTTTGCCACTGTTTCCTTTCTAGGGATAAGAAGATGACTAGTCCATGGTCACTCAGCAGGCTTTGTGAGAAAGTGAAACTATAACTAAAGATCTTTGGATTTCTAGCCTAGTGTAACCCTACACCAAACTGGTTTCCTTTTTAACTTTTTAGTGTGTATCAATTCCCTGGGTGGTCTTGTCCGATGTAAATACATCTCCCTCCCCCACTGGCACTATATGATCTATCTCTAGCCAGAAAAAATGGAGCAACTAAATTGCCATGCCAATCTTGAAGTTCTGTTTGTGATTTGGCAAGTAGCTGAACAATCCCAAATATTTCTAAAACTTATTGTGCATATTGATTGTAGTAATTAATGACTTAGAGAAAGTTTTGATATGACTGAATGCATTCATTCCAGTTGATGAATGTAGGATACTGAAATATTTTACCCTTGCTTAAAATGAATAGAACATGGAAAGTGAAGTTTGGGATTAGAAGAGGAAATAAGAAATTATTGCACCATGATACTGGGCAGGCTGCAAATATTTCTTTAGACAAAAATACATACACCAACATAACGTTGTTTTAAATTTTAATGTTTATTTTCCCCAAGACAGCCTAGCCTGCATTCTACTTGGATAAATTTCACAAGCTAGTTTTCTGCTGCATCTAGTTTTAAACTTTTAACCATGTTTCTGATGACAAGGAATGCTGCAAAAATACTCTAGTCCAACAAAGAGTTATGATCACAAAATAATTTGTATCCATTCTACTGCATTTCAGAATTACCAGCTGATTTAAAAAAAAAACACAAGGTAGAGATATAGATGCTAATGGTGGCTAACCTGGTACGTTTTCTTACAGCAAACTGTTGATCATGCAACACTTGTGCTCAAAGGGGAAGGCACAGCATTTCCTACAATGAGCCACCTTATAAAGAGTTTTCTTTTTGTACATATTTGTAATGTTATCTTTAATTTAGTGTGCAGAACCTCAAATTGAGGTATTATTCCAATTACAAAAAACACTTGCATTTTCATGCAAGTTAAGAATACAAAGTTCTCTCTAAAGTGGCTCAAAATAGATTGTTCATGGCTGTCTACATCTAAAGATAAAAGTCTAGAACAATTGGACAGATTAGGTGGTATCAACGGTGTTCAAACCATGACTTGATTTGTACATCTATTCACATCTCCAATCTTTTCAGCAGTACATATGCACCAAATTTTATTTTGAGGTTTCCATATCATTTTCATAGAAAACAAAGTTGAAAACAATTAACATTGAAACACAGCACGGTATTCTACCACAACAGAAACAGCTGGTTACAGGACTCAATAAAATCTAAAAATGAGCTATGCTGTAGTTTACCACATGCAAAAATAGCTTTATGTCATCTCTGAAAATGAAAAGATGATAAACATTATTGTTTTCTAGTATTATGATAATTTGTGTACTGCAACACAATAGTTAGAAGAAGGAAATGTATGGATTCCATGCAAAAATCTACACAAAATAGTTTTGATGATATGGAAAGCTTTTTTCATAGTAATGAACAATCATCTGGTGCAAATGCACAGGGAAGCCTTCCTCAATGTTTTCTGACTTTACAAGCAACTAGTAATAAGCCATACAGGAAATAAAATAACTAAAATTAAAAGGGATAAAATAAAATAAAAACACAGGCTGCAGGAGTAAAACCATAGTCTGCTGCTAAACCGGTCTCTTTTTTTTTGTGTCCAGTGTTATAACACTTATGCACTCCTTTTGATGATTGACTAGGGTTATTATCAGCCCCCTGAAGGCAAATCAAGCTTGCATGCATTCACATACAGCATCACAACCATACTCTCGTACACACCCCACTCCAAGACTAGGAGTCTGCTTTATGAGCAAAAGAGCCCTAGATTTGAAAAACACACGTGGCCCCACAGCACTGAGTCCAGACATTCACTCAATGTTGTCCATTCACACGGTGCTTCATTAGCAAGGCCTGGGCTCATTCTCCTTGGACTTATATGGGCATCCTATTCTCCTTTATGCTTACATGGCTTGATGATAGAATAGTACTGCATTTTTCCCACAATTGCGCTAATTAAATCAATGTCCCTCCTCAGGCACTGAATTTCTTTGACCTGTAGCCCTTTTCCTTTGAACAACCTATATAAGCATTCAGTGTGAAGTTTTTCATTACATTTTGCCACTCATTCTCATTCGCACCCACTCGCCATCTTGACTTCATTCGGGCTTTTCTGTGATTCCAAATGAAATCTTCACATTTTCTTTCCCGATTTAATGCAGCAGCGGATCCCATGAGCCAAGCTTGATGGATCAAACCTTTTTTTATTCAGTGCTGCATTGTACCTAAATTCCAAAATACCACTCTAGAACTGGAACCCTTCTGTAGGTACATTGGCAGATGAATTGAAACCGAATGTTCCACCTTGTATTGTTTCAGGAACAAGGCTTGGATCTTCATCTATCTGTAAAAAAATAAAACAGCAAGATCTGGGATTAGATACTGTATATTTATAATGCACCACACTGCATTTGCTGCAGGAATACACAAAGACTTCATCCTATAAACTCTCTTTTGGCTTGTGGGTATAGATTTATTGCTGGCAATATTACAGATAAGTTCTTATTTAATGCCTGCCTTGGACAACAAGAATTCGCAGTTACAATAGCGATGAAAAAGTAACTTTGTGTGGTATATTTGCTTTTACAGCCAGTTAATATATGTCAACGGTGGATAATTAATTTTCCCAAGGGGCCATTTGAGAAACAGACTGTGCTGGAGAGCTGAAACTATGTAACCCAATTTGATGTCCTCAAACTCCATCAACCTAGGCTGCTCCAGGCGAGAGGCAAGTGCTGCACACAAGCGCAGAAAAGTGCTTTCTCTCCTCATCCTCCTGCGGCTGCCAGCTGACTGAAGGAACACACAGGAAGCCAGATCTGACTTGACTTCTTCTCCTGCCTCCTATGGCACACTCATTAACGTTTGATTTCTAATTTTCAGTTGACCTCATACTGGTGGGACATGGACAGCCAAAGGATCAGATGTGGCCTGGGGGTAGTAAAATGCCCAGATCTGGTATACGTTGTCATGTGCCTGACATATCCTGTTGCCCACCCAACCTGCAGACCAGAAAAATTGCCTGGACAAGTGATCTCTTTCTGAGTTGCTTTTGTCCACAGCTGAGCTTATCCCTGAATGTGCTCACTACAAATTAACAAACTCAGCACTGTGGCCTTAATTAGTTGATCCTACCACTGGTCTTGCTGCCTGACACTGATAAGATCTTAATCAATTTCACTCTAGAATTTGTTGTGTGCTTCCCAAGTCACTCTAGCTTGCAGTGGGGCTAGCACAACTATCTGGCTGCTTACTTTCTTGTAATCCCTTCCTCTCTAATGAATATAAAACATCAATTCTCTTCCTGCTAATTATGCCAGCAATGGGGTGAACATCCCAAAGAATGGTTGAATGGGAAAAAGGGCTACTATAAGATTTGCCCTTTTATCTGACTTCCTCATGAGTTGTTCCAGAAACTTCCCTGCCATTTGGGACCATATCATTCTGATGCTGTAAAGTACAGGTGTCAAACTTGCTATGTCACGTGACATGTCGTGACATATCGTGACTTTTTTTGCATTCCCAGAGCTGGGGTGGGCGCAGCCTCTGTATGATGCAACTGACAGTTTGACACCCCTGCTGTAAAGGAAAGAAAAGCCTAAATAAAATCGTAAGCATAGTGATGTGATTTTTCACTTAGCAATTGCTTCGCTTAACAACTGGCTTGCCAATTCCAACTGCAGTTGCTAAACGAGGAATACCTGTAGTTTAAAAGAGCATTCTGTGAATTTTTCAGGATTAGTTTTGATCAGGGGAACGAACCTCTCTTTCCCTTTCTCTGTAACAGCTGCATAATTTTTTATACATCAGGTTGGAGAAACAGAAAATAAAAATAAAATGGTTAAAAAATAAAGCACCTCCAATTACAACCCTTCAAACATAACAGAGAGCTTGGTATACATACTCAATATTCTTAAACAGAATTTACTTACATCATCTGAAGAGAAGAATTGATCAATGATCTCATAAGCCAGTTTGTAGATGTCTTCATTTTCATGATTTTGTAGTTGTTCAATTTTCTCCAATCCTATAGGCAAAGCAAAGAAAAACTTCATAATCAACTATAAATAAAATATTTTCAGGACATAATTATTTCTGTAACCATATTTCAATAAATAAATATGAATATTTTTAGAATATCAACATCAATATCAAATATAAAAGAATTTAAACTGATAGAAATGTATAAATTAAAATATTTTATTAAATCAAAGAATTAAATTATACCTCCACATTCTTCAATAAGGTTGGCTATGGTTTCTGCCTCATCATCAGCCATTTTTAATATATTACTTAGCCCATCCAGCACTACTTGCACGACCTGAGCATCTTTTACTGTTAACAAGTTGCAAAATGGAGGAATTACATTTTGTTGAATTAGATATGCCACCTAAAAAACAAAAATAAATGATATCAGGACCATAAATTAAGACAATGTTAAAAACAGTAAACTTTATGTCAGGCATGTCAAACTTGTGATGTCACGCAACGTTATCGGGCCGGTTTTGCCATTGCCGGCAATGGGGTGGGTGCGGCTTCCACGTGACGCGTCTGGCCCATGGGCCGGCAGTTTGACACCCCTGCTGTATGTATATTTAAAACAATAAATGAATAGATTCTTCTTATCTGAAAGGTATCTACAGCAGAGATCCCCAACCTTTTGGGCACCAGGGACCGATTACATGGAGAAATTTTTCTGCAGACCAGAGGGGGTGTGGTTTTGTGTGCTGCCTGCATCCCGTGGATGGGACTTTGCTTGTTTGTATGGCCCGGTTGCTGGCATCCCACGGCCCAGTACCGGTCTATGGCCCAGGAGTTGGGGACCCCTGACTAGGGATTACATAGATCTTAATGATAAATCTGCTTTTTTAAAAAAAATATTGTTATTTATCAGACTGAACACACATTTGATGAATTTAGAAATTTACAATTTCTAAGATATTACATGTTCCTACTGATTTAAAGTTTAAGAATGGTAATTTAATTTAATGTAAAATAATCCAATTTTTTTGAACCAAAGTTCTTTGCATAAATAGAAATATACTTTTCTGTACAAGTGTATCTACACAATTTCCACTACAGGTAGTCCTTGCTTAATGACAATTGGCACCAGCAATTCTGCTAGTAAGTGACCCAGTTGTTAAACGAGACACCACGCAATCACAATATATGATTTTACTGCTGGCTTCTTTATTGCTTGTCAGAAGCTAGCTGTGAGGCACACAAAAACGATCTTGTGACAACTGGATGCTGCAATGGTCATAAGTGTGAGGACTGTTAATCTTTCAGTGTTATCTAACTGAACATTTGCTAAACAAGACAGTAATTAAGCGAGGTCTATCTGTTATTCTATTATGCCTCATCACAACCTATATGCTGACTTATAAGTGAAGACCACTGCAGTAAGAAGGGAACATAGGAAAACATTCTGTGCATCAATAAATTATAAATATTCTGTGCATTGAATACCGTTTATAATCTTTTGGATTAAATAACACATATGATTTTAATTACTTTACAGAAAACTGAGATATTACAAATTGAACTGTAATGAGATAATTTACCTTAATATTGTTTATTCTGAGAGTACCCTTAAAGTACTATTATCTATTTTTATACCAGACTCTAATTGAAATATAAACTTAAGTAATGTGAGACTGGAAACTATTTTGAGACATTTTTGTTTCAGTTAACCAGAAGTTAAACTATTCTAAAGACTTTTTTGAGTATAAACTTTAAAAGTCTCCAAAACAAATCTAATACAGTTATGTAATTTAGTTCTCAGCAGGCTTACACTGGAAAACAATAATGAAGAATTTGTATATTCCAATCTGAGACAGATTACACCTGAAGAAAACACAAGCTGAACCTAAATAACTTATTTTAATTGGACTATGCCTCCCATTTATATTTCCATTTTAATTCTACCATATTCCCTTACCTCAAGTATGTATGAGGTATTACTTACTTGATCTTTTCTTCCACTGATTGTCAGGTTACTTATAGCCCAAGCAGCTTCCTTTTGTGTACCAAAGTCACCCTAAAATATGAAAAAGTTGATACATTATTTTCAGATTTTCCTTAATAAGGAAAGGTAAATGGAAGACTTTTAAGGGTCAAACTTAAAAATTAGTTTAATATCACTTAATTTGTTAACGCCCAATCTCTTGTCTTCCAAAGGCTGATTTTTCCCCGGCATCAGAACCAAAATGGATATAGATAGTACTTGAATTATGAATGTAACTGAGCATGCAATTTCAGTTGTAAATTGTGGTGGTCATAAAGTGGGTCATCACATGACCATGGCCAATTTTATAAAAAAAATTCCAGTGGTAAAGTGAATATTGTGGTCATTAAACAAACCCATTTTCACTATGGGGATATTTACCCAGAAACTGAAAGTAAATGCAAGTTTCTGGAAAAAATATATTGCAAAGTATAAAAAAAATGTGGTAATGTGACTGCTAGGGTGTTTTTGTGTGCGATCACTGGAGCTTCAAATCTGGGTAATAAGTCCTTTTTTGGGGATTTGTTGTAACTCTGAACTATTACTATGACTGGTACTAAGTCACGGCTACCTATACCTTGACTATTAACTGTAGGAGATAATCAGGCTGAACCCAATGGAGGGGTCAAACATGTCACCAGCCTTGAGTGCCTTCATGCCCGCAACAGATCTAAGTTAGCCCACCTTGAATTCTGTTGAATCTAATCTGCCGCCAATTTGCTTTGATGGTTAGTATTCAGATTCTTGTAGAAAGCATTAGCAGACAATAAAACTATATTCATTTGAACTGACTGAATTCCTGACTCCACAGAGTTCCACTCTTTCTCCCCTTCTTTTCAACATCTAAATGAAATTGCTGGGTAAGGTCATCAGCCAATTTGGGGTTCAGTAGTATCAGTATGTTTATGATACTGAATTATATATTTCCTCCCTGGGCAACCAAGTAAAGCTATCAAGATTCTGTCTCAGAGTCTGGAGGTTATATGAGTTTGGTGGGGAGAAACTGTCTGACTCATTCCTACCAAATGGTTAAAAGTGCTGTGAAGATCCGGTTTTCTACCCAGAGCCTTGTGAAAAAGAAACTGCTGCTTCACTGCATTTGCTATCTTCTAATTTTAATGGTTTACTGATTTTATTGTAATTTGATTGTTGTGAGCTGTCTAGAGTAGTTGAGAGTTGGGCTGCATAAAAGTTTAAAACTATTATTAACTATTAGTGAACTATCCATAGCAGAAGGGAGGCAGTTATTTCCTCAAATCCTTTAATCCTTTGATTCATAAAGCAAGGGATCATTGGGCCAAGTGGCTATGTATATTTCTGCTTGGAGTTGACATGCAAGGAAAAAAACAAAATGACAGGAAAGAGAATAGAATATCAACCTAATTTCTGTTAAGGGAGTGGAGTGACCTTACTGCCTGCTGATATTTATATGTAATAGCTTTAATGCCACCACTGCATTCATTTTTGACTTTTCATACATGAAATTTGGTATTAAAATTACTGCATTGAGTCCCATTTTGTGAGTTGGTAGAACTTCCCAATCTCTAACAGTGTCCATATTATGCTATCAAAACTGCAAATATCCCAAAATATTGCCTGATACAATTTAGCCTTCAATTTGAGGAGCAAAAATAATGTCTGCTTTGTATTACAATTTACTTGTTCTAAAATACAAAATGGTACCTCATCCAAATTTGAAAAACCAAGACTTTTGTGGCATTCGCTGTACAAATGTAGAAAGATGGTTAAAATACGTTTTGAACTATTTAGTTAGACTACTGCTTACAGCAGAACTTCTGTACATGAAAAGATCCTCACTATCTCTCCAAAGGAAACACTGCATTTAGTCCAGACCGTCCTGCAGAATTTTGTTGACATATGACTGCCTTTGAAAGCATCTGGTAATTAATACCTGATTTGCATTGTAAAATGTGGTACTTTTAATGTTTCATTATTGTGCAAGGCATATAGCAGTAGTAGACAACAACTGAGAAATCTATTAAAAAGAAAAATGCTATTTATGGAATGGATATATTGTTCATTAGATAAATTACCACGGATTTAAAATATCTTAGTATCTTTAATCAATTATGTCCCTTACATATCTTCATTCTCTACGTTTTGAATTATAATTATTTAAGTGATGTAATCAGCAGGTTGCTTGAGGATTGGTATTTGCCTTGCTAGAAAAAAGCTAAGTTTACTGAGTTAAGTGAGCTATCAGGCAGACATATATGCATCCATCTAAATAATTTAAGTAAATGTTTGTCTAACCTTATCTAAAAGATGTATTATCATTGGTACAAGGTTAGCATCTATCACAGCCTGGACTTGCTGCTGATTTCCTGCAGTGATATTAGATAGGAACCATACAGCTTCCTGCAACAAAAAAGTAAAGTTTAACAATATTTAAAGAAATATTACAAATTCTGAAAGTATGGCTTGACACTTGGCTATGTGGTTTTCAGTATAAACACAGTAAAATAAAATCTGGGTACCATTTAAGTTGCATGTTAATCTATTGTGTTGAAATTGTTCAGCATATGTCTGCTTCCAAGATGAGTTCTATTTAAACAGGATAAGAACTACATTATAGGATATATACTTTTAGCTATAACCAATAACTATGCTGAATTATCCCACTGAACTGATTTTAAAGTCAGGTATAAATATGAAATAATAAATTATAACATTTATATTAAGCGTTTTATTAAGTATTTGTGGGTGGGGGAGGGAGGGAAGTGTGAGTTATTGTTTCCCCTTGGGCATTAGTTGTATAAATCATGGCCTTTTGTTTTCAATCCTTGTATACCCTTCAGAGGCACCTGAAATGGGGAGCCATATAATTCATGAATTTGCAAAAACCTTTATGAAGTTATAACACTTTACAATGTTCAGTTCATCATATTTAATAATGAAATGAGCCTAAGGTTAATCAGAATTCTAAAGGGTTGGATTCCCTTCTCATTGGTTTTAACCTTGGTGCTTATAGTAGTGATTTTGAACATGCTACATATATAGACCAAAATCTATATGAGAGCACATTTTTAAAAATGGGCTTTAAAGCCACTAGATCAGTTATTAAAAATGAAACATATTACCTGAAGTCTGGTAGCCTCCAGCTTTTGCACTATGTTTAGAAAATGATTTACAAGTATTATCAAGCCACTGTAGTGATAATTTCCAAACTCTTGATGAAAGTACAAATATCCATAAGACTTCAAGACAATGAAATAATGGGCTGGCTTCATATATTATGTTAAATTATAAAGTAGCTTGATTGGTTTAGCATCAAGATTAAACAGACACTACAGTTAATATTGAGCAAACTAAGCCACCAGGGTTTGTTATAATGACATAGTGCAATGCTGAACTGCATTAAAAGTTCACTGGATTAAAAACTTGAGCCCATGATCAGAAAAGACTTTTAAACAAATATATTTAAATAATATATATTCTGGGTTATTTCATGACTATGATGATAGTTAAGAAATTTTGCATCAAAGTATCATAAAGGGTAAGCAGTTTTGGGTAGCCTACTGAATATAGGTTTGCTGAGTTGTTGCGACCAATTTATATTACATTGAGCTGGGAGCTGGCCTTATACGTTTAATGGTAAATATCAACTCATGTTCTGAAGCCAGGAATTTTGGAATGAATATACTGAACACTAATCTACAGAAAGCTAGAGGTACTGTGGGAATAAAATGATCGATCTAGCTAATGAGGTGCATGCTGTGGTACATAAGATTACAACCCTCACTGAAAGTTCAAATTTGAACTACTTGGGGGTTCTTCTGAAATTATGATCTTCTTCTACTATCTGTGCAAACTGGGATGGCAATGTTCACCTGCTTAGATTGATACACTAACACTAACTAACTAATGGGTATGGATTTTCTTTGATCATTCAGTACATGCATTAATTACATGCAGATTATGCTACTAAATGTAATCAATCTGGGCCTGTTAGACCATTAGGACAGTTCAACTGATGCAAAATACAATTGCTTGGGGGTTTGGTGGATTAATCAAGTATACTACATTAATTCTATGATAGCTATGTATTACTGACATGTTTCCAAACCAATTCATAGTCCGAATATGTAAAGCGAACTATGCCCACATGAATCCATCTAAGATCAATGAAAAAGATCAAGTCCTGATGATCCATTTCAAATTCAATTAAGATTGGTAGTCTACACACATTTATTTGTTCAATGGATCTACAGTCTCAAATCTCACTGGATGTTGGGGTATTTGAAGATATTAAAAAAACTATAATACATTAAATAAAATCAAAATAACAAATATGTACAATATAGTTCTTTAAGTTATATTTCATTTTTTGAATTTTAACATTTAAAGTCTATAATTGTATTTACTCTTTTTTGCTGCCCTAGAAAGGCCATTTTTAAATTAAATGACGTCTAAATAAATAAAAGACTGTTTTGTCAAAGCTTTTTTTAAAAAAAAAATAGTATAACTTCTAAGTATAATAAATTGAAACTTCTATAAAATGTGCTTTTAACACTTTTAAAAAACTGCTTATTCTTTATGAATAAAAATAATGTTTTGGTATTTTAAAAATCATTAAACTGGACTCTTGGATCAGATTACATATTCATTTATATGACAAAAAGAATATGTCAGAGGTTTACAGTTTCTAGATACAAACTGTGAACATGTTTTGGGCTTTAATCACAGGCAATGTTGCACAAAGACCCTATGGCTTAGCAACTGCCTCAGATGCACTCCAAAATCAGCAATTCTTTTCAGTGTCCACAGTTTGCATCATTATTTGGTCCTAAATACACAAATGCACCACACACATTTTCTTTCACTCGCACATTTTTTCTTTTCCATACTGAATAAAACAATCATGCTCTCCTATTCACATTCATCCTTCTATATTTTAACCTCCATTTCATCATTTCCAAGAATCAGTAAAATTTGAACATAGCAGTATTCACATGGAGTCAAAAGATCAATTAATTATATTAATTTCTTATCAATAATATGTAATAGGTAATAGTGTTGTACATATTTACATACCTTATTAATTTTTTCTTTGGGGTGTGTCAACAGAGCAGGAAAATGTGAAAGAGCTTCACAATTCAGAACTACCTGGGTTTGTTCATCAGTGCCAGTAACAATATTGCCTACAGCTCTCAGTGCTGCAGTCTAGGAAAAAAATATAATTCAAACCTGATGGTCAAATAATATGTTAAAAAGGAAAAGATTGGTGATTCATTGAAAATATTATGCCTTAATTTCATCCCTTCACTAGATTTAAGTTATTGACTGTAAGCTGAATGCTATCAGTGAAAAGATTCCAGAAATAAAAACTTCAAAGTATTATCCAGGGAAATAGATAATTTGGTATTCAAATTCTAAGGACAGAGTCTAAAGGATTGTTCAGTTCATTCATATGACATGCCATTTCACAATAAAAACAGTCTATTCATATCAGAATACTTTACACCTCTCATTTTGATAAAATAATCATTCAAAAGATTTCATATATTAATTTCTAATGCAGTGCTTTCCCTAAAAACCCTATTTAAAGAAAGGAAGCTTGCAGAATACTTACTTGTACTTTAACTTCCTGATGGCTGAGAAGAGGAACCAGATGAGGAACTATCCCAGAATCTATCACCATCTGAATCTGTTCATTGCCTGAATCCGTTAGGTATGAGAGGGCCCAGACTGTATCTACCAATATCTAATTAGAAGGGAAAAAATGCATCACAACTTCACAAGCAAGAAAACAATGAGATTTGATTGCTATGTTTTATTTTACTTAATATTGTCTATGTCTTTCTATAAAATTTAACTTACACCCGCACCTTAGTGTATAGCTCAGTAGTGAGGGGAAAAGCATATACCGTATTTTCCGGCGTTTAAGGCGACCCGGCGTATAAGACGACCCCCGACTTCGGTGTTGATTTCCATGCCTAGAAAGTCGTCTTATCCGCTGGAAACTACAGTAAATATGCTTCCAGTCCATAAAGAATTCCATCAATCAAGTACTATGCTATAACTGCTAATCATTCATATTCATCATTAGCTCTCTTGTCCTTTATCACGGTTCTGCCCATTATACTTTGCTGTCTTCTACACTTGTTGCTTAGAATCCTTTTAGAATCCTCCTTCCCCAAGATTCATTTCAACCTCAATTTCTAACCATGAACTAATTATAAAATATGTATCAAACTTAGCTTCTTGCTATTCTCACAACATTGTCTTTTGTTATATTGCAATATTAAATCTCACTTATGAACATATGTATAAATGTACATATATGCATGTGCATTTCACATTTTTGTACCAGCCATCTGCCAAGTAAAGTAAAGTAAAGTAGATCTAAATTAAAAGTAAAAGTTAAAGCAAAGCAAGGCAATGTAGTTAAACCAATTCTGATAGGGTTGTGTATTTTGCCTTTAAAGACACCATACAGAATATCTTATTACTCACATTTACATCTGTGTGATGAATTAAGACACACAATGCTGGGAGGATCTAAAAGAAACGAAAAAAGGGTTCAAAATTTAAAAATGTGCAGGGAGACCTAAACTGATTAATTTCCAAGAAGCAAGTAGATTACCTCTTGAATGGTTTCCATTGGTGGAGGTGGGTCTTTGTGACGGCATAGGTTGACCATTACCCAAGTTACATTTCTTAAGAAAGTTATTGGAATAGATGGGCTGATGAATGAAAGCAACGGCTTTACCACTCCAAGACTAATGACATAATCTCTACATTGTGGCCCATCACCTGTATAAAAATTGAAACATTTGTAATATATTAGTAAAAATATTTGTAGATATTTTCAAAGCTCTGTATGCAAAGGAGGATAATTCTAATAGGCTATTAGAAATGCTTGTCTTTTAGGTTATCAATCTAAAGACCACCATTTCCCTATATGCAGGGAAGAAAAGCCTAATCCTATAAATCTATTCCACTGAGAAGTTGCTCTTATCATTATATATTTTGTAATAATCATGGCAACAAACATACTCCTGCCTCCAATTTTCCCCATAACACTATGAGGTGGATTGGGCTGATGACTGGGCCAAAGTCATTAGCCAGTTTTCATGTCTAAGAAAGGCCTACTACTCAGTCTCCTTAATCACTACACTAAAATGGCTCTTTTCTATTTCTATATCTACAAGATCCTCTAATTAGAAATTGTTAAACTGGGGATAAGTACTCCAAGGGATAATCTGGGCATATCCTGGGGGTAATGGAACAATTTATAATTGCTTGTTTATGAATTGAGGGATCCAGCTTGGGATTGCTGCTATCAAAATGCTTGCTTAAAACAAGAAATTCTGGGGTTTTTTTGTGAGGAAGAGGTAATAACATTACAGTAGCCCTTGACAACCACAATTGAACCCAAAATTTCTGTTGCTAAGTGAGACAGTTAAGTGAGTTTTGCCCCATTTTGTGACCTTTCTTGCCACAGTTATTAAGTGAACCATTACAGCTGTTAAGTTAGTAACATGGTTGCTAAGTGAATCTGATTTCCCCATTGACTTTGCTTGTCAGAAGGTCACAATAGTGAATCATGTTATCCCAGGACATGTTAGTCAGTTGCCAAGCATCTGAATTTTAATCACGTGATTATGGGGATACTGCAATGGTCTTGTGAAAAATGGTTACAAATCACATTTTTCAGTGCTGTTGTAACTCCAAACAGTCACTAAATTAACTGTTGCAAGTCGAGGACTGCCTGTATTTCATACCAGGAAAAGGGATAACTGGACTGGCTTGTGGACCATTGCTCTAGATAGTGGATAGCCTATGAATATTTTAAAATAAAGCACTCCATGTTGGGAAGCACCCAGCTGGGCAGGGGGGAGACCTCAAGTATGGAATTAGCCCCGAATCCTTGCGAAGCCACAAGAGGTCCAGAAATGACCCCCTTTAAGCTCTATAAAAATTTGTTTCAGCTGAGGCTGGCATCTGGGAAGATTCCTGTATAACAGGCAGAATATAATAAAGTAGCAAGCTTGAACTCTTCACATGTGGGTCTGGTTGTTTGTATCTGACACACCATGAGCCAAGTAATTCATGTTACATTCTTCAATGTAATTTTATCAGAACATCCATGCATATCACTAAAAGATACTTTTGAAGAAACGGAGAAAAAAGATTATGTACAAAATATTTCTGAGAAAAAACTAATATTAATATTGCAGTGCAACCCTGGCAAGTTATTAAATGTTAAGTGACGGAATCAGCATGTTTTTATATAAAATATAACAAACCTATGATATTGCCTAAAGCCCATACTGCTTGTTCACAAACATTTTGATGGGGTGAATGCAGCAACCTCAAAAAGAGTGGGACAGCATCTGCAAAAGAAAGTCATAAATTACTGAATTGTTTCAAAGCACAAAAACATACTCTTAGTATATGACTTTAAGCTGATGGATAATGAAATACCAAAGCCTCAATTTCTGAGAGCTGCCATGATCTAAAACAATACAGAAAATCCTTGACTTACAACAACAATTGAGGCCAAGCAAGACAGTTGTTATGTGAATTTTGCCACATTTGATGATGTTTCTTGCCACAATTCTTAAGTGAATCGCTGCAGTTAAGTTAGTAATACGGATGTTAAGTGAATCTGGCTCCCGCATTGACTTTGCTTATCACATGACCTTGGGATATTGCAACCATCATAAATATGAGTCAGTTGCCAAACATCTAAAATTTGAACACATGACCATGGGGATACTGCAATAGTTGTGTGAAAAATGGTCATAAGTAACTTTTTTTGTGCCACTGTAACTTTGAACAGTCACTAAAGGAACTGTTGTTAAGTCAAGGACTACCTGATTCCCATTGTTGGAAGAATCAATTCTATTCAGTACTGCAACATTTGTTTCTGGACAGTTACATTATGGAATATGCAGATTTTCTAAAATCAATATACAATTCTCCAGAAACTTAAATGGAAGTAAGAAGAGGGGAGAGCCCATCATACTCATCAGTAGATATCAAGCTAATTAGGGCTGGCTATATTTGTTTTCATTAAAAATATTTTCATCACTTTTTTTACTTAAAAAGCACACAGACCTTTTTGCTGGCCATGCATTATTCAGTAAAAAAAGATTTTAATACATTGTCTTTATATAACCATATATAATATGCTTTAACTAACTTGTTCAAAAGCAGTTTGGAAAAAAAATCATAACTGACATAAACTAGTGGCTGGATACCTCTGGGCCATTATATGTTAACAGAATTAAAATTCTCAGCAGCCAATAGAGATCCTAATAGAGTTTAGCAAAAACTAGAAGATAATAAGTTCCACACCAAACATACTTATTAGACAAATTATTATTCATTAATCAAAACCAATTATATAAATTAAGAATAAGGCATTTATACTAGGCAGGACTCTAATTCTGGAACATTTTTAGAAAATCAAACCTCTATGTATTATAGATTAAAAAAATGTTTTACATAAACTAAAGATTATACTTCTATTTCATATCTGATACAACTATTTTCAATATGTTAAAAATACATGAAGACAGAATGAAATATTTGACTGCAAATTTTTAAAAAGAAAATTCAAGGTCCAAAGTAGCATTTAAGTGAGGAATCCAATTTTAAAAAGTCAGATTATTTAATCTCAACTAAGTCAATCTCATATTAATTATACAAACCTTCAATATTGTTTTGAAATAGTTAAATGTAAATCAATTTGCTAAACCATACTCTTAATAAGACTGACCCACAGCTTTGCCCTCTCTTCCATTTCCTCCAATAATTGCCCTACTTCAGAATACCTAGCTGAAGATATTTGAATCCTTAATTATAATTTATTTTATTTACGTTTGATAAAAGTAAGCCAGTTTCATGAACTGTAAGTTCATTGAGGTTAGACATGATAACAAGTATCACCCAAGTCTAAAACAGAAG